AACTGATGAGAATAAAATTTCCTTGACCTTGAAACCTAATCAATAGTTTTTCTTGGAAGCTACACTATATGGTCAATTGATTCTTCTCAATGTTATCAAAGCAAATATACATAGTGCAAAAATCAAGTAATGCAGAGAGTTTATAAAGAAAAGCAACAGTTCATCTTCTGCCCATCCTTCTATTCAGTCACAATCCAGATATAACAGCTTTGAATGTGCATGTCCTGGTATTTATCTCTATTGCTCTAAAGAGTATTGTTTCCGGAAAAGCTCTGCAAACAGTGTTTTTCCTCTTTTCTCATACCACCACAACAATCATCAACACAAAATAAGACTTCTGTGACCAAACGTGTGAGGTTTTCTCACACACACACCAAGCCGTGAACACCAGAGGGGTGATCTCCAATTCACTGCCAACACTATGGATCCAGAGATAGCAACAGATCCCACAGCTCAGTTTCCAAGACTGCTGCTCCCAACTCCCCAGACACCAGTCACAAGTCCAGGCCCCTGGAACTTCAGACCAATCAGCTTCAAGTTGCGGCTCTCACAACTCACAGAATACAGGGAAGCATTTACGTTTACTGGTTCATTATAAAGGATATTGCAAAGGACACAGATGAAGAGATGCATAGGGTGAGGAATAGGGTAAGAGGTAGGGAGTTTCCATGCCCTCCCTGGGGCACTACCCTCCAGGGGCTGGTGCAAGGAAGGGAAGGTCAGAGAGATTCCATTTCCTAAGGCCTAACACACCCAACATGATAACACAAGACTATAACAAGGGCTATGGGAATTATAAATAAGCCAGGACCTGTGAATGAAAACATATATACATATATAAAAACATCATGAGTATGTTTATGCTGGCCAGGCATGGTGAATAATGCCTATCATCCCAGTACTTTGGGAGGCCAAGTGGGGAGGATCGCTTGAGGCCAGAAGTTCAAGACCAGCCTGGGTAACATAGGTCCCATTCCCATCTCTACAAAACATGAATTTTTTAAATTGTAGGGAAAAAAGAGTATGTTTATGTTGCTTTTTGGAGAAATTCTTCAAGAGTTAAAAAAGAGACAAAGACAAAGTATGAGAGGAAAGATAGACAAAGAACCAGGAGTCAAACATTTAAATAAAAGGAAAAAACTGAGAAAGCGGAGAGAAGGAAATTCTATCTACCCACCTACCCATCGTCTATCTTCCTATCTGCCTGTCTATCCATCTAGTTCCCCAAGGCTAAAGAAGGTGAGATTCTCATTCCTGTTTGTCGAACAAAGTGGCTGCCTTCTGATATGTGCCTCTTCTTAAGCCCAGTGTTCTTTCAACCTCATTGGTCTCTGCAAACCCAATTTCACAGGCCCCTACTGAGAACCAGTTTCCAGTCTCCATTTCTTTTTTTTTTTCCTCTTTGTTCTTCTTCCCCTATTGCTCTCTTTTGTCCTGTAAAAATGATCTGCAACAAAACCTCTCCTGTGTACATGTCTAGAGGGTGAGTTATCCCAGGTAGCTAATGCTTTGCTCCCTTAAGAATAAATCCCCAGGCCAGGCAGGCAGGTGGCTCACACCTGTAATCACAGCACTTTGGGAGGCAGAGACGGGTGGGTCACTTGAGGTCAGGAGTTGGAGACCAGCCTGGCCAACATGGTGAAATCCTCTATCTACCAAAAAAATACAAAAATTAGCTGGGCCTGGTGGCACGCACCTGTAATCCCAGCTACTTAGGAGGCTAAGCCAGAATGGCTTGAACCCAGGAGACAGAGGCTGCAGTAAGCCTAGACTGAGACACTGCACTCCATCCTGGGCTGCAGAGAGAGACTCTGTCTCAAAAAATGAAAAAAAAAAAAAAAAATCCCCAAAACATCTTAGATAAATCACAAAAGAATCATGTGGAGCAAAAAAGTAAGCTGCAGAATGCTGTGTATACAAGAACACTAGATCTACTACTGGTTTTGCCACATACAATGTTATCAATAGACAAAGAACATTATATCAAGCCAAAATGTCAGTTAAAAAAACAAAGTTTTTTTAAATCTTTAAATCCAAACCATAATATTATAACTTAATGAAGATACTATTCCAGGCCGGGCGTGGTGGCTCACGCCTGTAATCCCAACACTTTGGGAGGCCGAGGCGGGCGGATCACGAGGTTAAGGGATCGAGACCATCCTCGTCAACATGGTGAAACCCCGTCTCTACTAAAATTACAAAAATTAGCTGGGCGTGGTGGCGCGTGCCTGTAATCCCAGCTACTCGGGAGGCTGAGGCAGGAGAATTGCCTGAACCCAGGAGGCAGAGGCTGTGGTGAGCCAAGATCGCGCCATTGCACTCCAGCCTGGGTAACAAGAGTGAAACTCCGTCTCAAAAAAAAAAAAACTATACCAATAATACAAACACATTTTAAAAATTAGGTCTTTTTAGTAAGAGTGGCTTTATAGCAGCCTAATTCTGCCACCTGCCTCGGCACCTTGTTACATCATTAGTAGTACTCAGAAGCATGAATCTGAAATGGCACTGTGTAAACATGCATGGTGTTTCCACTAACTAAACCGTAACACAGGAAATTGATTCTCCTTTAACCAGGATTCCTGAATATCTCCCAATGATCTCTCAAGGATCATTCTTACTATAATATGCAAATGAAATGGCCAAGTGCCCATTCCATGGATGAAGGGAACCCAACCCCTCCCCAGGATCTCCGTGAATTCCTGGAGGCTACTCCTATTAGTCCATCCTGCAGCCTGCACCCCACTGTCACTGGGAGCTTATCAGCTGCTGTTTTGGCTCATTGCCCACAGGTCGCCTGTGGCTTGGAAAATCATGCACACATGTCATTCCTCCTAGGCTCTACTCATACAAGCTTGTGTGTTACAGTTTTTTTCTTTTTGTTTTTGTTTTTTGAGACAGAGTTTTGTTCTGTTGCCCAGGCTGGAGTGTGGTGGCACGATCTCGGCTCACTGCAACCTCTACCTCTTGAATTCAAGCGATTCTTCTGCCTCAGCCTCCCGAGTAACTAGGATTACAGGCATACAGCACCCTGCCCAGCTAATTTTTTGTATTTTTAGTAGAGAAGGGGTTTCACCATGATGACCAAGCTGGTTTCAAACTGCTGACCTCAAGTGATCTGCCCACCTCAGCCTCCTAAAATGCTAGGATTACAGGTGTGAGCCACTATGCCTGGCCTTTGTTTTGGTTTTGAGATGTAGTCTTGCTCTGTCATCCAGCCTGGAATGTAGTGGCATGATCTTGGCTCACTGCAACCTCTGCCTCCTGGCTTTAAGCGATTCTCCTGTCTCAGCTTCTGGAGTAGCTGGGACTACAGGCGCAAGCCACCACGCCCGGCAAATTTTTGTATTAATAGAGACAGGGTTTTGCCATGTTGGAAAGGCTGGTCTTAAACTCCTCACCTGAAGTGATCTGCCTGCCTCAGCCTCCCAAAGTCCTGGGATTACAGGCATGAGCCACCGCACCCAGTCATGTTATACAGTTTTATTGGAGGTTTGATGGTAACAAAAGGCGCCATCACAGCATAACCTAGGTAGCAATTTAAGGCTGAATATGAGACACAACTGTCCTAGAAACGCCTTGGTCATTCGCCACTACAGAAACTTCCCAACCAGGCTCTAACTTGCCGCTCTCTTCTTGACCTCTCCCTCTGTTGCTAACCTTTTCCAAGACTTTCTCCCTCTCTGGTCTGTCAGCCTCCAGCCCCCAAATTCCTGTTAATTCTCTCATGCAGACCAACTCAGTTTGCTCTATACCTTCAGCTTCACCCTTCTGACCGTATCTCACTCAAAGAGAACTGTCCAGGTATTTTTGTAATCCTCACCTCAAACAAAAGCTCTCAAAAGTCTCTCTCCCCTGCTATGTCTTGTCTTTGTGATTACAACAACTGCAGTCAATTATTGCTTTAAATGGCACCTTCCCCCTCCTGCCACATGTTTGAAAGAGCAGTGATATCTACCATTTCTAGAGTGCCCAGAAGGTACATGCTTGATCTCCAGTCCTTACAAACCTCGGTGAAGTATGAGGTATCATTCCCATATTACAGATGAGGCTCACAGATGACTTGCCTGAGTTCCCCCAGCTGGTAATTAGTAGGGTATGGCTGTGAACCAGTGCCTGATTCCTAAGCAGATGTCTGCATCTCTACACAACATAGTAGATTGGCCTGGTCCGGTGGCTCACACCTGTAATCCCAGCACTTTGGGAGGCTGAAGCAAGTGGATCACCTGAGGTCAGGAGTTTCAGACCAGTCTGGACAACATAGTGAAACCCTGTCTCTACTAAAAATACAAAAATTAGCCGGGGATAGTGGTGGGTACCTGTAGTCCTGGTTATTCTGGAGGCTGAGGTAGGAGAATCACATGAACCTAGGACGTGGAGGTTGCAGTGAGCTGAGATTGCGTCATTGCACTCCAGCCTGGGTGACGGAGTGAGACTCTGACTCAAAAAAAAAAAAAAAAAAAAAAGGCTGGGCATGGTGGCTCAAGCCTGTAATCCCAGCACTTTGGGAGGCTGAGGTGGGTGGATCACGAGGTCAAGAGATCGAGACCATCCTGGTCAACATGGTGAAACCCCGTTTCTACTAAAAATACAAAAAAGTAGCTGGGTATGGTGGCACATGCCTGTAATCCGAGCTACTCAGTAGGCTGAGGCAGGAGAATTGCCTGAACTCAGGAGGCAGAGGTTGCAGTGAGCCGAGATCGTGCCATTGCACTCTAGCCTGGGTAACAAGAGCAAAACTCCGTCTCAAAAAAAAAAAAAAAAAAATGTGGGGCACGGTGGCTCATGCCTGTAATCCCAGCACTCTGGGAGGCCGAGGTGGGCAGATCACCTGAGGTCAGGAGTTCAAGACCAGCCTGACCAACATGGTGAAACACACACACACAGACACACAGACACACAGACACACACACACATACACACACGGTAGATAACTGCCCCACTCCACCCCACACCAGGATGTCTTTAATTTATGCCTCCTCTTCTCTCTTCATTCTTCTCAGGATTCCACTGCAATGAGTTGGTGGAAGAACAATTTCTGGATCATCTTAGCTATGGCCATCATCGTTGTCTCTGTGGGCTTGGGCCTCATCCTGTACTGTGTCTGTAAGTGGCAGCTTAGACAAGGTAATGGCCATCTTACCTGGGCAACTGGAGGGGGAAGCCAGGTGGTTATCAGTACAGTAAAGCTCCTTTAGGGCAAGAAAATAAATTCTGGGCCTGAATGGGCTGAATTTGGGATTAAACATCTTGCTTGCATTCTGGGTTTGAGTCCTAGCCCTGCCACTACATTGCGGTTTTGGGCCTCAGTTTCCTCATCTGCATAGTGAAGGGAGGGACATCAACTAATCTCCAAGAGCCCTCCAGCCCTAATCATCTAAGTGAAAGCAGAATCTGTTTCAAGGCACCGTATACTCAAGTGCTTTCTCTTTCCTATGTGGCTACTGATAACAGCATCTTGCAAGAACACAAGTATATGGACTATTAAGAACTGTTTTGGCTGGGCACAGTGACAGCATTTTAGGAGGCTCAGGAAGGGGATCACCTGAGGTCAGGAGTTCGAGACCAGCCTGACCAAAATGGCGAGACCCTGTCTCTACTAAAAATACAAAAATTAGCTGGATGTGGTGACAGGCACCTGTAATCCCAGCTACTCAGGAGGCTGAGGCAGAAGAACCACCTGAACCTGAGAGGCAGAGGTTGGAATGAGATCATGCCACTGCACTCCAGCCTGGGCAACAAGAGCAAGACTCCAGCTCCAAATAAATAAATAAATAAATAAATAAATAAATAAATAAATAAATGGCTGTCTTGAGGAATAAAATGTGGACTCAACCCACAGCCAATGTGTTTGGCCACCATGATTGCCTTCTCTGAGACCATATTCTGAATTATCTGGTATTATCCCCACCTAGACCAGAAAACTCTTGGTACCCTCAGATATAAATAAGTGGCCTGAGGATTAACACTAACTTTAGATTATCTGTAAGTGGGGTTTCAACCTTCCTGTTCATCTCCAGAAACATGAAAGCCTTGATTCAATGGTGTGTTATCTTGACATCTCATCCCTTTAAATAATGACCTAAGCAGGGAGTACACCTGGGGATGGTAAGCATACTGAAAGGTACAGCCACCTTCCCTGCACAGGCATCACTCAATGATCAAGCCACTATCCACTCACTGTATCTAAACACACCCTCAAAATTCCTGCTCAGCCAAGTGCTGAAAGGTCAGGGATACACAAGAAGTGAAATCTTTTTGTCATTTTTCTCAATCTCTCTTTAGAGATAAGAAAATTAAGGTTCAGCGCCAGGCGCGGTGGCTCAAGCCTGTAATCCCAGCACTTTGGGAGGCCGAGGCGGGTGGATCACGAGGTCGAGAGATCGAGACCATCCTGGTCAACGTGGTGAAACCCCGTCTCTACTAAAAATACAAAAAATTAGCTGGGCATGGTGGCGCGTGCCTGTAATCCCAGCTACTCAGGAGGCTGAGGCAGGAGAATGGCCTGAACCCAGGAGGCGGAGGTTGCGGTGAGCCGAGATCGTGCCATTGCACTCCAGCCTGGGTAACAAGAGTGACACTCTGTCTCAAAAAAAAAAAAAAGAAAAAAGAAAAAAGAAAATTAAGGTTCAAAGGAAGATGAGAGCTTAACTGAGATGCCATAGGAATTGGTGGCAAGGTTGAGACCAGAACTCAGGTCTGCCGGGCTTCCAGTTCAATGTTCTTTCTCCTCTATTGTAATTAATTTTTAATACAAAAAAACTGTATTCTGGGACCCTACAGTCCTCTATCCTTTTGTCGTTTTTTTTTCAGACAGTGTCTTACTCTGTCATCCAGGCTGCAGTGCAGTGGAGTGATCTCAGCTCACTGCAACCTCCACCTCCCAGGTTCAGCTGATTCTCCTGCCTCAGCCTCCCGAGCAAGTGGGATTACAGGCATGCGCCACCACAGCCAGCTAATTTTTGTATTTTTAGTAGAGACGGGATTTCACCATGTTGGCCAGGCTGGTCTCAAACTCCCAACCTCAAATGATGCACCTGCCTTGGCCTCCCAAAGTGCTGAGATTACAGGCATGAGTCACTGAGCCCAGCCTTTTTAAAAAGTTTTCATTCTTGCTGAGTGCAATGGCTCACACCTGTAGTCTCAGCACTTTGGGAGGCTAAGGTGGGTGAATCATTTGAGGTTGGGAGTTTGAGATCAGTCTGGCCAACATGGTGAAACCCCATCTTTACTAAAAATACAAAAATAAGCTGGGCATGGTGCCAGACACCTGTAATCCCAGATACTGGAGACACTGAGGCAGGAGAATTGCTTGAACCTGGGAGATAGAAGATGCAGTGAGCTGAGACTGCGCCACTGTATTCCAGCATGGGCAACAAGAGCGAGACTCCATCTAGGAGAAAAAAAAGTTTCCATTCTCAAATAGGAACAAAAGAATGACCCCGAACAAAAACTTTACTTACTTTCCTTTTGTCCTCAACCACTCCTATTAACAAGCAGGCTATAATTAATAACAACTTATATGTCCAGCACATAACAGTTTACAAACTGCTTTTCTGATTCTTTATCTGATTTCCTCCCAACCACACTTTTAATTACTCATTCAACCAACATTTCTGGGTGCTACCTAAGTGCCAGGCATAGAGGAAAAGAACCACCACCCACACTGCGTTAGTGCACAGGCTCTGTGGTCAGGCAGCCTGGATTCAAAGTCCAGCTCTATCATTTATTAACTCTGTGTCCCTAAGTGTGTCTTCTCTGAGCTAAATTTGAAAAATCACAACTTTTGCTAATTCTTCTTAATGAATATGCTTTTCCCCCTCTTAGGCAAGAAATGGGAAATTGCCAAGCCCTTGAAACACAACCAGGGAGATGAAGAAAAGATGTATGAGTAAGTGGTGGGGAAATCCTTCCGCTTTTTACTTTTGAGACCTGCCTGCTCACTTCCACTCTTGCCCCTCCACTACTGAAACAGAATGACATCACATTTCCTGTAGAGCTGGTGAAACGTCACACCTGCCAAATCTCTCCACATATGGGCAGAGACTCAGGAACGACATTGTGGATGTACGGCGGGTCTCTCTCTCTCATACACTCCCCCCCTCTCTCTCTCTCTCTCTCTCTCTGTCTCTCTCATTTTTTCCAAGATGGAGTCTTGTTGTTGCCCATGCTTGAGTGCAATGAAGCAATCTCGGCTCCCTGCAACCTCGATCTCCCAAGTTCTAGTGATTCTCCTGCAGACACTTTTATTAGGCAGGATAGTCCAAGGGTTTAGAGATTATTTCCCAGGAGCCAGTCTAGAGCCAGTCCTTTCTTTGGAATATACACACTATCTAAAACAAAACCTATGCTTGGAGTGAGGTGCAGTGGCTCATGCCTGTAATCTCAGCACTTTGAAAGGCCAAGGTGGGAGGATCACTTGAGGTCAGGAGTTCCAAGACCAGCCTGGACAACATAGTGAGACCCTGTCTACAAAACATTTTTAAATCTATGCTTTTCTTTTTTTCTTTTTATTCTTTTAAAAATAAAGACGGGGTTTCACCATGTTGGTCAGGCTGGTCTTGAACTCCCGATCTCAGGTGATCCGCCCGCCTTGGCCTCCAAAGTGCACGGATTACAGGCATGAGCCACCATGCCTGGCCAAATCTATGCCTTTCTAAAATGGCTTTTGTTGTAGCTTCAGTGGTCCAGCAAATAAGATCCCCCTGCCTCCATCAGTTCTGATCCCCTTCAGGAATAAGGTAAATGTGTCAGGCAGCCAGGTGGCTAAAATATTGCCTTTATTAAGAATAAAAATTGGGCCAGGTGCAGTGGCTCACACCTGTAATCTCAGACTTTGGGAGGCTGAAGCAGGCGAATCACCTGAGGTCGGGAGTTTGAGACCAGCCTGGCCAACAGGGGTTTACTAGAAACCCCATCTCTACTAAAAATACAGAAATTAGCCAGGCATGGTGGTGTGTGCCTGTAATCCCAGCTATTTCGGAGGCTGAGGCAGAAGAATTGCTTGAACCCAAGAGGCAGAGGTTGCAGTGAGCCAAGATCATGCCATTGCACTCCAGCCTGGGCGACAAGTGAAACTCCATCTCAAAAATAAATAAATAAATAAATAAATAAATAAAGCAAAAAAATAAAACTGGGATTGGCTAAGGGCAGTGGTTCATGCCTATAATCCCAGCACTTTGGGAGACTGAACTGGGAGGATGGCTTGAGGCCAGGAGTTTGAGACCAGCCTGGGCAACACAGAGGAGCCCCATTGAAAAAAATACCAAAATTAGCCGGGTATGGTGGCATCTGCTTGTAGTCTCAGCCACTTGGGAGGCTAAGGTGGGAGGATCACTTGAACCCATGAGGTGGAGGCAGCCATGAGCTGTGATGGTGCCACTGCTCTCCAGCCTGGATGTCAAAGCAAGACCCTATCTCAAAAAAACAAAACACAAGCAAATAGAAAAGAATAAAACTGGGATTGCAGAATGTGGTTCTTTTCTGCGAGCTAGTGAGTTTCCTAATTTGGAACTGGGTGACTTTCCTGCCCAGTTCACAGACAGCTCTGGAAAACCTCAGGTCTCCCCCACTGAGCAGACCCCTTTCTCTGAATGGCAAAGATGGGAGCATGATTTGTGATTTCTACAGTCAGGCTAGCACTAGAGGATAAAGTGAGAGGAGCCAGACTTTCCCCAAATTTAGCAGTCAGATGAATTGCTTTCTTCTCTTAGGAAAAGCTACAGAGGGATGGTGAGAGCCACTAGTGGAGCTCTATCCCCATGTCTCCACCTGCACTCATCCCAATAACCTAAAAATATTCATTCATTCCCAGGGGGACTTTATAGCATATAGGAATCAAATCAGTGTACCTAGGGGGGTGGAGGCCCAAGTAAGGATGCTTTCTTAGAGTTTATCCTTTAGTTAAAACTTCTTACCAAAGTAAAATATAAATACAGAAAAATGGACATAGTAAGTGTACACCCTGATGAATTTCCACAAACTGAATAGACCCAGGTAGCTGGCACCCAGATCAAGAAAACAGGATATTACTGGCACTTCAGAGGCTTATTTTATACAGCCTTTCAACTGTTACATCCCAAAGGTAATCACTGTCTGTGATAGCATAAATTAACTTTTTGGTTTTTATGCATTCTATTAATGAAATCATATAGTATGTATTGTTTGGTGTTTGGCTTTTTTGCTCAACATCATTTTTATGAGATTCATTGTATGTAGTTGTAGATTGTTCATTCTTGTTGCTATAGAATATTCCACTGTGGGAGTACACTACATTTATTTATTTATTTTGAGACAGGGTCTCACTCTATCAACCAGGCTGGAGTGCAGTGGTGCAATCATAGCTCACTGTAACCTCAAATTCCTGGGCTGAAGTGATCCTCCTGCTTCAGTCTCCTGAGTAGCTGGGACTACAGGTGTAGGTAGCCACACCTAGCTAATTATTTTGATTTTTTGTAGAGACAGGGTCTCCCTGTGTTGCCCAGGGTCTCCCTATATTGCCCTCAAACTCCTGGCCATCTTCCCTCTTTTGCCTCCCAAAGTGCTGGGACTACAGATGTGAACCACCTTGCCCAGTCTCTATACCATAATTAATCTATGTATTCTACTGCTGATAGGCATTTTGGTAGTGTGACGGCAAATTTTATGTGTCTCTGTTTCTCTGGAGAACCCAGACTAACATAGGTAGTGTCCAATTTGGAGCTGTTATGAATAGTGTTGCTCTAAACATTCTAATGCATGTTTTGGTGAACAGATGCAAGCATTTCAATAGGCTATAGACCCAGCAGTGGAAATGCTGTCTCAAGGTATATGTACATTCAGCTTTAGGAGTTCATCTGTTTTTTGTTTTTTTGTTTTTTGTTGGTTTGTTTTGAGACAGAGTCTTGCTCTGTCACCCAGGCTGGAGTGCAGTGGCGTGATCTTAGCTCACTGCAACCTCTGCCTCCCTGGTTCGAGTGAGTCTCCTGCCTCAGCCTCCCGAGTAGCTGGGATTACAGGTGTGCATCATCATGCCCAGCTAATTTTTTTTTTTTTTTTTTTTGAGATGGAGTTTCACTCTTGTTGCACCCAGGCTGGAGTGCAATGGCGCGATCTCGGCTCACCGCAACCTCCGCCTCCTGGGTTCAGGCAATTCTCCTGCCTCAGCCTCCTGAGTAGCTGGGATTACAGGCACGCGCCACCATGCCCAGCTAATTTTTTGTATTTTTAGTAGAGACGGGGTTTCACTATGTTGACCAGGATGGTCTCGATCTCTTGACCTCGTGATCCACCCGCCTCGGCCTCCCAAAGTGCTGGGATTACAGGCTTGAGCCACCTCGCCCGGCCCATGCCCAGCTAATTTTTGTATTTTTTAGTAGAGATGGGGTTTCACCATGTTGGCCAGGCTCGTCTCAAACCCCTGACCTCAGGTGATCCGCCCACCTTGGCCTCCCAAAGCGCTGGGATTACAGGCATGCGCCACCACGCCCAGCCCATCTGTTTTGCAAATAGAAATACATCTGGTGCCTACCGCTCCTAATCCAGCTCAGGTGAACCATGTGCTCCGTGCTCTGAGTTATAGCATTTTTATTTCCCTCTCATTGGTTTCAGCCATTTCCTGGGCTAGAGAAAATGGTTTCATTAGGGTGCCAATTACAAATGGGATCCAGGACCTAGAAAGGAAAGTGAATGCTTCCAATTTGTAGAGTCCAAGATTTGAATGTTCAATCCATTCACTTTCCTTGACATTGTATCTTAAATCTGCTGAGAGCAGGCATGGCCCAAACCAAACACTGATTCTCTTTCTCTCTGTTTAGGAATGTTCTTAATGATTCTCCAGGTCAGTTACCACCTCTGCCACCGAGGAGTTGGCCTTCTCTAGAAGATTCTTGTAAGTATATTTTACTGGTAGCAGTTTCATTTACAGTTAGGATAACAAGTTTATCAAGGTGTCTTAGAGAGCTCAAGCTGCTGTAACAAAAATACCAGACTGGGGTGCTTACACAACAGAAATCTACTTTCTCATTGTTCTGAGGCTGTAAGTCTGAGATTAGGTTGCTGGCCAGTTTCTGTGAGGTTTCTGGTGAGGGCTCTCCTCCTGGCTTGCAGACAGCTACCTTCTTGCTATGTCCCCACAAGTGGGCTTTCCTTGGTGCATTCAAGCTGGAGAAGAGCGCCAGGGAGCCAGATTTCTGGTGTTTCTTCTTACAAAGACACTAATCCTGCTGTATCAAGGCCTCATCCCTATGGCCAAATATAGTCACACTGGGGGTTAAGCCTTGAACACGTGAATTTTGGGGGAACACAAACATTCAGTCTATAACACTAGGATGTATAGATGCAGCATCCTGATTATTTCATTTTACTTTACTTTTATTTTTTTCTTTTTTGAGATAGGTTTCACCATATTGGCCAGGCTGGTCTTGAACTTCTGACCTCAGGTGATCCACCTACCTCAGACTCCCAAAGTGCTGGGATTACAGGCATGAACCATTGTTCCCGGCCCTGAATATTTTATTTTTGAAGCAGAGTCTTGCTCTCTCACCCAGGCTGGAGTACAGTGGCGAGATTTCACCTCACTGAAATTTCCACCTCCTAGGTTCAAGCTATTTTCTTGCCTCAGCCTCCTGAGTAACTGGGATTATAGGCATGCACCACTACACCCAGCAAATTTTTTGTATATTGAGTCGAGATGGGGTTTCACCATATTGCCCAGGCTGGTCTTGAACTCCTGACCTCAAGTGATCCACCCACCTCGACCTCCAAAAGTGCTGGGATTATAGGCATGAGCCACCACATCCAGCCAGCATCCTGTTTAAAAGAAACAGTCAGAGGCCAGGCACGGTGGCACACACTTGTAAGCCCAACACTTTGGGAGGCCAGGATGGGCAGATCACTTGAGCTCAGAAGTCTGAGAACAGTCTGGGCAACACGGCAAAACCCTGTCTCTACAAAAATTAGCTGGGCATGGTGGTGCACACCTACAGTCCCAGGTCCTTGGACGGCTGAGGTGGGGGGATCGCTTGAGCCTAGGAGGTCTCATCTTGGACAACAGAGTGAGACCCTGTCTCAAAACAAAAAAAGGGATGAAAAAGCCAAAAGGAGGCAGAATAAGTACCGATGCGCCCAATATCCTGATATAAATGTGTAAATTAATGTTCAAATCCTAGCTTGGAACATAAACAGAAAGAAACATGGGGTGTCACTGGGCTTCTCACTTCCTATCAGAAAAACTCTGCCTGGTTCCTTTGACTGGAATGTTCTTCCTTAAGCTCTTTGCATAGCTGGCTTTTCCTCATCCTTCAGATGTCAGCTCAAAAGTCACCACCTCAAAGAGGCCCTCTCTGACTACTCAACCTAAAGTAGTCCTGCTAATTTCCTTTATGAAACTGGCAGTTATCCAAAATTGTCTTATTTACTTATTGTTCATTTGTGTACTATTTCCTCCACTGAAGTATAAACTTCAGAAAAACAGGAACCTTTCTTGTCCACTGCTATTAATATTTACCCACTACCTAGAACAGGGTGTGGGGCTTAGTCGATACTTAAGAAAAATATTTTGAACAGGGCCCGGTGACTCACGCCTGTAATCCCAACACTTTGGGAGGCCAAGGAGGGTGAATCGCCCAAGGTTGGGAGTTCAAGACCAGCCTGAGCAACATAGAGAAGCCCCGTATCTACTAAAAATACAAAAATTAGCTGGGTATGGTGGTGCATGCCTGTAATCCCAGCTATTCAGGAGGCTGAGGCAGGAGAATTGCTTGAACCTAGGAGGCGGAAGTTGTAGTGAGCCGAGATCACGCCATTGCACTCCAGTCTGGGCAACAAGATTGAAAATCTGCCTCAAAAAAAAAGAAAAATATTTTGATTGGATAGATAAATATTATTAGCTGACATTTACTGAGCATGCACGGTGTTTCAGGTCCCACACTAAGCACTTTACAGGTTCAGCTCATTCAATCCTCATAACTCTATGAGGCAGGTACATTTTCATTCCCCTTTGACAGATGAGGACACTGAGGAGAAGAGGAGGAGGGGAGAGGAGGGCAGGGAAAGGAAGGGGAGGGGAGGGGAGGGCAGGGGAGACAGCTAATGACTGCTGGAACTTGAACATAAACTCAGATCTGTCAAACTGTAGAGTTCTGCAAGGAGTGGCATTTCAGGTTTTTGTTGCTGTTGTTGTTTTGTGTGTTTTTGTCTTTTTTTTTTTTTTTTTTTTTTTTTTTGAGATGGAGTCTCCCTCTGTCACCAGGCTGGAGCGCAGTGGGCTCACTGCAACCTTCGCCTTCTGGGTTCCAGCGATTCTCCTGCCTCAGCCTCCTGAGTAGCTGGGACTACAGGTGCGCACCACCTCACCCAGCTAATTTTTGTATTTTTAGTAGAGATGGGGTTTCGCCATGTTGGCCAGAATGGTCTCGATCTCTTGACCTTGTGATCTACCCACCGCGGCCTACCAAAATGCTGAGATTACAGATGTGAGTCAATGTGCCTGGCCGCATTTCAGGTTTTTTAAGGAAAAGATGAGACTGTGGGAGAGGCAGTTCCAATCCTCATCAAAGATGCTCCATCTTTGATGGAGCTGTTTCATCATCTTTCTATTACCTATGGACCTGTTCTTTTCTTTCCTTTTTTCTTTCTTTTTCTTTCTCTTTCTTTCTTTCTTTAATTTCCCTCTCTTTCTCTCTTTCTTTCTCTCTTTTCTTTCCCTCCCTCCCTGCCTGCCTTCTTTTTTTATTTTTTATTTTTTTTTGTACTCAGAAAATGATTTGGTTCCAATGCACCTTCCTTCTTTTTTGAGACAGAGTCTTGCTCTGTTGCCCGGGCTAGAGTGCAATGGTGCAATATTGGGTCACCCCAACTTTTGCCTCCTGGGTTCAAGCAATTCTCCCGTCTCAGCCTCCCGAGTAGCTGGGATTACAGGCACCCACCATCAAGCCCAGCTAATTTTTATATTTTTGTAGAGACAAGGTTTTACCACGTTGGCCAGGCTGGTCTCGAACTCCTGATCTCAGGTGATCTGCCCTCTTTGGCCTCCCAAAGTGCTGGGATTACAGGCATGAGTAACCGCGCCTGGCCTTCTATGGATCTGTTCTGTACTAATTTAACTTTTTGAAAACAACGCCATAACTTCTCTTCTTGGCAGAGAGATTTGTACATAAGCAATTACAGAGAGTCCTAGAAAATAGTGTAATTCACTGGGAGGGGTGTGCCAAAAAGGCAATATGATTAGTTTCACTTCCTTGTGAAAATTAGGATCTGTAACATAACAACACTCATATGACTACTGGGCTCTGGTCTGTTTCTTTTTTTTTTTTTTTTTTTTTTTTTTTTGTGAGACAGAGTTTCGCTCTTGTTACCCAGGCTGGAGTGCAATGGCGTGATCTCGGCTCACCGCAACCTCCGCCCCCTGGGTTCAGGCAATTCTCCTGCCTCAGCCTCCTGAGTAGCTGGGATTACAGGCATGCGCCACCATGCCCAGCTAATTTTTTGTATTTTTAGTAGAGACGGGGTTTCACCATGTTGAGCAGGATGGTCTCAATCTCTTGACCTTGTGATCTGCCCGCCTCGGCCTCCCAAAGTGCTGGGATTACAGGCTTGAGCCACCGCGCCCGGCTGGTCCGTTTCTTTTCATACATTCTTTTTTTTTTTTTTTTTTTTTGAGACAGGGTCTTACTGTGTTGCCCAGGCTGAAGTAAAGTGGCGTGATCATGGCTCACTGTAGCCTCAACCTTCTGGATTCAGAAGATCCTCTTGCCTCAGCCTCTCAAGTAGCTGGGACTATAGGCACGCACCACCACACCCAGCTAATTTTTTAAATTTTCTGTAGAGATGAGGGCCTCCCTATGTTGCCCAAGCTGGTCTGGAACTCCTGGGCTCAAGTGATCCTCCCATCTTGGCCTCCCAGAGTACTGGAATTACAGGTGTGAGCCCCTGCATCTGACCTGGTCTGTTTCTTTTCTAAGCTTTTGCTTCATGGTTTCCAGGCAGTGCAGTCTTAGGCAGAGAGACATGGGAGTCAAGATGTCTGACAGATATTTTCCATTTACTCACTTGGGTGATACTGAACTGTGTCATGTCCACGTCTAAATTTCCTCTATAAAATGGGGATCTGGTCCATTAGAAGTGGGAAGATCACTGAAACATGAAAATCACACTGAGTCACTTGGTCAAAAATATAAAAACACATGACAGCTCTGCATCTAAGGATCTTTTTGTGTATTCTAGCCCCACAGGAAACCCCAGGTCAGCCACCAGCTACATACTCGCTGGTAAATAAAGTTAAAAATAAGAAGACAGTTTCCATCCCAAGCTACATTGAACCTGAAGATGATTATGACGATGTTGAAATCCCTGCAAATACTGAAAAGCATCATTTTGAAACAACCATTTCTTCTTTTTGGCAAAGCTGAAGAGGGTTCACATGATTTATTTTAAAACAATCAAGAATGGTTGAACTTTAGGAGGTCTCTGGGCCTTGAAAGCCAGTGGTGATTTTTATGAAGCTCTGTAAGATAAAGCACTTCCCAAACCTTAGATGAAGACACCCCTGCAATCAGATGACTGCAGACAGAGGATATAGATGCTCAGCTCTGAGGACTCAGAGGGGTCAGCCTTGGGCTGTTGAGGGAAGTTTCCATGGGGACGACCATGGGCTCCATGGCTCTCCCTATGAGAAACTACTCATTTCTTGGTACGCTTGCCCTCTTCATTCCCTTGGTTTGCATGGTTCTGAGTGATCTTAAATGTCAGCATTCGGTTCTACAGACCCTCCCAGGTTCCCATCCCCAGCAAGGCCCTCACCAAGCATGCGGTCTTTACCCCTTCCACTCTACCCACCTCCTGCACTGTGAGGCTGTGGGTGAGTTACAGCTGAGTGCTCTTGTGCCCAAGTCCCCACACCACATCTTGCAAGTTTGCAAGGGCAGGGAGTACTTTTTGTTCTTGTGAACCCTCCCTACCTATATACCCTGCAAACCCCAGTGCCTTTTTATGATGTAGGCCAAGGCCGGGCTCACATCTGTAATCCCAGCACTTTGGGAGTCTGAAGCAGGTGGATCACCTGAGGTCGGGAGTTCATGATCAGCCTGACCAACATGGAGAAACCCCATCCCTATTAAAAATACAAAATTAGCTGGGCATGGTGGTGCATGCCTGTAATCCCAGCTACTCAAGAGGCTGAGGCAGGAGAATCACTTGAACCCAAGAGGCAGGGGTTATGGTGAGCTGAGATTGTGCCATTGCACTCCAGCCTGGGCAACAAGAACAAAACTCCATCTCAAATAAATAAATAAATAAATAAATAAATGAATGAATGAATGAATGAATGAATGAATGATGTAGGCCAAATTGACCATAGCGATTCGCATTTTCACCTAGGTTTGTTCCCCATGCTCACAAGATGCTGGTTTCCAAGCAAGTACAGGTTGTACTGTAACAATGGACAAAGGACAAAAGTTACCTTCCGATTTACACCTAGAAGTATAATTTAGCAATAGATGTGTTGAGGGTGCTACAGGAAAAATTATGGGGAACAGGAAAGAAAGAGGGCATGTGACAATGGCATATTCAAGATGAGAGTTGAGGGGGCTTAAAATCCCCTGCCTATCATTTTCATCATCACTTCCTCGAGATCTATGAAAACAGCCTCAAGCCCCTTCCTTCAAGAACACTGTCCCTGGGCATCTAGGAGGAGGCCCAAGGCCCAGCGTGATGTGCTGCAGCCAATGTGATGCCAGGGAAGTGGGCTGCTGACCTGGAATGGTCCACATACCCAGGGTCTTAGGAGACCCCAGTAAACCCCAGGGCCTCCTGTCCCAAAAGTACCCAGCAACTTTCCCTAATGTCTCATTGGCCTGGAGTGGTCCACATACCCAGGGTCTTAGTCCATTTGGTCTACTATAACAAAATTCCTTAGGCTGGCTAATTTGTTAAAAACAGAAATGATGCTGACAGTTCTGGAGGCTGGGGAGTCCAAGATCAAGGCGCCAGCAGATTTGGCGTTTGGTGAGGGCTCACTCTCTGCCTCACATCTTTCACCATGTCCTTACCTGATAGAAGGGGAAGGCAGCTCTCTGGGGCCTCTTTTATTTTATTTTTTGAGACAGTCTTACTTTGTCACCCAGGCTGGAGTGCAGTGGCACAATCATAGCTCACTGTAGCCTCAAACTCCTGGGCTCAGGTGATCCTCTCACCTCAGCCTCCTGAAACCGGCTATTCTTTTTCTGTCTCTTTTTATTTATTTATTTATTTATTTTTGAGTCGGAGTTTCGCTCTTGTTACCCAGGCTGGAGTGCAATGGCGCGATCTCGGCTCACCGCAACCTCCGCCTCCCAGGTTCAGGCAATTCTCCTGCCTCAGCCTCCTGAGTAGCTGGGACTACAGGCACGCACCACCATGCCCAGCTAATTTTTTGTATTTTTAGTAGAGACGGGGTTTCACCACGTTGACCAGGATGGTCTCGATCTGTTGACCTCGTGATCCACCCGCCTCGGCCTCCCCAAGTGCTGGGATTACAGGCTTGAGCCACCGCGCCTGGCCCTGTCTTTTTTTTTTTTTTTTTTTTTTTTGGTAAAGATAGAGTCTCACTATGTTGCCCAGGCTGGTTTCAAACTACTGGATTCAAATGATCCTCTTGTCTCAGCCTCCCTAAATGCTGGGATTATAGGTATAGCCACCGCACTGGCCTAGGGCCTCTTTTATAAGGGCATTAATCCCATTCATGAGGGCAGGGCCCTCATGATTAATCACCCCAAAGGGCCCACCTCTTAATACCATCATCTTGGGGTAACATACGAATTCTGGGGGGACGCAAACATAGACCATAGCATTTTGGCCCGACCCCACAAAATCCTTGTCCTCATATGCAAAATACATTTATTCTATCCCAATAACCCTAAAAGTTTTAACTCATTCCAACATCAGCTTTGAAGTCTAAGTCAACATCTCAACTAAATGTTGACTCATTCCAAATATGGGCAAAAATCAAGATATGATTCATCCTGAGGCAAACTGTTCTCCAATTATGAGCCTATGAAATCAAACTACTTGTGTGCTTCCAAAATACAATGGTAGGACTGACACAGGATAGACATTTCCATTCTAAAAGGGAAAAACAGGAAAGAAGAAAGGAGTAATGGGTTCCAAGCAAGTCTGAACCTTAACAGGGCAAACAACATTAAGTCTTAAGGTTTGAGAATAATTTTTGACTTGATGTCCTAGCCCCCAGATATTGGGATGGGGGTTGGGCCCCCAAGGTTCGGGGCAGCCCTACCCCCATGGCTTTGCTGGGCACAGACTACTCTGCAGCTTTCATGAGCTGGAGTCTCTGGCCTGCAGCTTTTCCAGACTGGAGCTGCACACTGGTGGCCCTACCACTCTGAGGTCTTGGAGGCAGCCCTGTTCCCATGGCTGTGCTGGGCATTGTCCTGGTGGGGGCTCTCTGCAGTGGTCCTGCCCCTTTGGCTGTACTCTGTCTGGGCCTCAAGCTTCCCTCAGGAATCCTTTGAAATCTAGGTAGAGGTAGCAATGCCCTCACAGCCCGTGTACTTTTGTGCACCTGTGAAGACGGAACTGCTTTAACACCACCATGCTTTACTGTCTATGTCTTCCAGAGGGATAGCCTGAGCCACACTTGGGCCCACTTGAGCTATAGCTAGGGTATCTCAGGGACCCTGTGCCAGAATGCAGGGAGCAGGACCTTGAAATCGCTTTGCCTTCAAGGTCCTAGCTTTCTGGGCCTGTGATGGGCAAGGTAGCCTCTGAAGATCTTCAGAATGCTTTCAGAGTCATTCTTCCACTGTGATGCTGAGCATCTGGCTTCCATCTACCCATACTAATCTCCTTATCAAAAGTTTCCTCGGACACATTCTTGGTGTTTTCTCTTCAACAGCTTTTTCATTCTTTACAACACGAGCAGGTTGGTAAATTTCTAAATCTTTAAATTCTGCTTGTATTATTATTATTATTATAAATAACATCTTTGGCCAGTTGTGGTGGCTCATGCCTCTCATCCCAGCCCTTTGGGAGGCCAAGGCAGGTGTATCACCTGAGGTCAGGAGTTCAAGACCAGCCTGGCCAACAATGGTTAAACCCTACCTCTACTAAAAATACAAAATTAGCTGTATGTCATGATGCACACCTGTAATCCCAGCTACTGGGGAGACTGAGGCAGGAGAATCACTTGAACCCAGGAAGCAGAGGTTGCAGTGAGCTGATATTGCACCATTGCACTCCAGCCTGGGCTAAAAGAGTGAAATTCCGTCTCAAAAAATAAATAAATAACATCTTTAATCGGTTTCTCTCTGCTAGCATTTTACTACAGGCATTCAAAAGAAGCTTTGCTGCACTCTCAACACTTTACTCAGATATTTTTTCCACCAAATATCCTATTTCGTCACTCAGAATTTCTACCTTCCATAAAATACTAGGACACACAATTCAGCCACATTTTTTACCATTTTATAGGATAATTTTTCCTTCAGTTTCCAATAACATGTTCTTCATTTTCATCCGAGACCTCATCAGAATGGCCTTTAACATCCATACTTCTACTAACATTCTGTTACAACCTCTTAGGTGATCTCAGAAGAAAATTGAGACTTTCTCTGTAGCTCTCCTCTTCTTTTGAGCCCTTACTAGAATCACCCTTCACAATCTGTTTATGACAATACAGGCCTTTTTGTGTGTGAGAGACAGAGTCTCATTACGTCACCCAGGCTGGAGTGCAGTGGCTGGATCTTGGCTCACTGCAACTCCCACCTCCCAGGTTCAAGCGATTCTCATGCCTCAGCTTCCCAAGTAGCTGGGATTACAAGGGTACGTCACCACACCTGGCTAATTTTTATATTTTTAGTAGAGATCAGGTCTCACCCTGATGGCCAGGCTGGTCTCAAGCTCCTGACCTCAAGTGATCTGCCCACCTCAGCCTCCCAAAGTGCTTGGATTACAGGCATGAGCCACTGCACCTGGCCAATACAGGCTTTTTCTGGCATGCACTTCAGAATTCAGCTTCTACCCATTACTTCGTTCCAAAGCCACCCCCAAATTTTTAGATATTTGTTATTACAGCACCCAGTTCTCAGCACCGATTTCTGTCTTTATTGGGATGGCTAGAACGAAAATACCTTAGGCCAGGTGTGGTGGCTCACACCTATAATCTCAGCACTTTGGGAGGCTGAGGTAGGTGTCTCACTTGAGGTCAGGAATTTGAGACCAGTCTGCCCAATATGATGAGACCCTCTCTCTATTAAAAGTACAAAAATTAGCTGGGCAGGTGGTGTGTATGTGCAATCCCAGCTACTCAGGAAGCTGAGGCACAAGAATTGCTTGAACCGAGGAGGCAGAGTTTGCAGTGAGCCAAGATTGCGTCACTGCAGCCTAGGCAACAGAGCAAAACTCTATCTCAAAAAAAAAAAAAAAAAAAAGAAAGAAAAGAAAAGAAAAGAAAGAAAGAAAAGAAAAAGAAAAAAGAAAAAAGAAAAAGAATGGCTTAAACTGGGTAATTAATAAAGAACAAAAGTGCGAAGGCCAGGCATGGTGGCTTATACCTGCAATCCCAGTACTTTGGGAGGCCAAGGAGGGCAGATCATGAGGTGAGGAGTCTCAGACCAGCATGGACAAAATGGTGAAACTCCATCTCTACTAAAAATGCAAAAATCAGCCAGGTGTGGTGGCGCATGCCTGTAGTCCCAGCTACACAGGAGGCTAAGGCAGGAGAATTGTTTGAACTAGGGAGGCAGAGGTTGCAGTGAGCCGAGATT